CGCTGTGACGCGGATGAGAGGGAGCTGATGGCAAAGATGTGAGGGATGCACGAGGTTGCGAGCCACGTAGGGGCAGGAACAGCATTGAGAGCTGGAGGTAAAAGTGGAGCCCTTTCCCGTGGGCCTCGGGTGTGTTTGCCCCCCTACATGGTGCACCCAGCACCCCTGCACAGAAGGGCCTGGGGAGGGGGGCACGAGGGAGCACCAAGAGCTCCCCTCCTGTCCTCGGAGCCGTACGGACTGYGGCAAAGAGCCGCTCCCGCTGAAAGCAGACCCCAGGCGCGGGACCCCCGAGCATCCTGTCCCCAGACTTGTGTTTCCAAGGCCAAGTGTGCATGGAGCAGGAGTGGGGTGGGTTGGTTGGTTGGTTTTTTGGAATTGGAATAGATGAGAGAAGATATAGGAGGAAAAAAAAAAAAAAAAAAAAAGCCATCCTGAGAGGAGCTGTCTTATTTCTGATTTTGGTCCCATGGAGCTTATCAGGGAAAAGGTAAAACTTTCTCTGTGTATCCTCAAGCGGCTTCTTTTTGATTTCAGCATTAAATCTTTTCTGTAAATCCTTCTTTCRTGGAATGAACTTTCCTTCTTAGAGCTTAACCACTGCTAATGTCTATCTGCGTTTTTGGTATTTGGTGCAATAAAAGTTCAAGTTGCTTGTGAACTTGCTTAATAAAACTACCTGGATCAACCTACTTTTCTTCCTTGTACAGCAGGTAATTCCATCTTGCAGTTTTATCTTTTTTCAAAATGCATAGAAATTCTGAAACACCAGAAGGGAAGGTAAAAACTCACTTCCAGCTGGACCCTTTACATGAGGACCATAAAGATGCTTATCACCCTTATCATCTGTGTCACTTACATTTCCTTGTGGCTCTGAGTTTGTCACATCATTTGTGGCAGAGACCCAGTACTGACATTTTGCTGAGTTTTATTGTGCTTGGGCTTAGGAAGAGAATATTAACTGTGGAAGGTTTAGCCGTATGCTTCTATACTGTTTTCAGTGAGATTTCTTCCCTCAAGAAATATACATAAATATACATGTGCTTTAACAAACATGGAGGGTGTCTGTCTGACAAAGCTGTGATGATCTCCATTATGTTTATTTTTTTTTTGATGGATATATCTGTGGGCACATTTTTGCAGTTTTCCAGGCAGTAATATTATCACGTGCTCTAATAAAATATGTGTGCGTGTTATTGCATAGAGGATTTGCACATTTTTGTGGCATTTCTTTCACTTTTTTTTTTTTTTTTTTTTTTTTT